GAACTTAGAGATCGTCTAGTCTAATTCCCTCATTTTATAGATAAGGAAACAAACTGAGAAGTAAACAACTTGCCTAAGGTAACAATACTAGCAAGTGATACAAAAATTAATGTCAATAATTGTACTTACTTATGACAAGTAAGAGTGTGCTTGAGTCAACTACAACCAATCATAGTTAAATTTTCAGTGTGGGCATTCTTTCATTGGAAATCTACAAATGCTATAATTTCCTCATCATGCTCTTTAATTCAGCCTCATATTCAATGCCTTCCCACCTGCCTCAGCCTTCTTTCCCCTCTGACTAGAGGGCTGGAGGGTGGGGCACTAAAATCCACTCAAAGCTTTCCTTTATAGAGGGCTGGATCTGGATTTGGCAGCTTACTCTACTTTCCATCTGCAGCTCTCCTTGGTCTCAACTCCACAGAACATTATGCCCCCATGCCAGGTACCCTCTGGTGACCTCAACCCCCTCACCTCCACTTTCTTGCCTCCTTTTGTGTGCTGTCTTCCCTCAACAGATTGTAAGCTCCTTGAAGACAGGACCTGCCCTTCTTTTTCCTATTTGTATGCCCAGTGCTTAGCATAGTACCTGGCACATAATAGATACTTTGAAAATGTGTATTGTGAATTTGGGGAGGTGGAGCCAAGATGGCGGAGTAAAAGCAGTGACTTGCTTGAGCTCTCCCCCAAACCCCTCCAAATACCTGTAAAAAAAATGGCTCTAAACAAATTCTAAAGCAGCAGAACCCACAAAAAGATAGAGTGAAACAAATTTCCAGCCCAAGACAATCTGAATGGTTGATCAGAAAGGTATATCATGCCAGGCTGGGAGAGGAGCGCAGTTCAGCGTGGGAGTGCAGACTGCAGCGAACCTGAAGCAGGCCTCAGAGAACTGAATCACAGACAGCTGTGATGGTTTCCAGACTTCTCAACCCAAGAATGTCAAAAACAACTTAGAAGGTCAGTGGGAAAAGTCTGTGACTGCGGTGAGAGAGAGAAGCTAGGTCTCAGCCGAAATTCCCGAGCACGGCCCTGGGCTGTGGCTGCCTCCTGAGCTTCTGGCCCACAGACTGAGGGGGAATCCAGTGGCTGATCAGAGGGAGATTACAGAGATATCTTTGCCATTTGCTTTGCCCCTGCTTGGATCTAGGTCACAGTTTTTAGGGGCGGGGAAGAGGAGGAGTGCTGGCATGGTGGAACTTGTTGTGGCAGTGGAGAGGAAACACCTCACCCCTTATCATAGCACCTTGGAAGAACTGAAAATTTTCAGGTCCCTAGAAGTACCTCTGAAAACAGCTGTACAAACCCCCAAAGCTTGGGACAGTACATTCTCCACATTGGAAGCAGACTCTCACCTTAACAAAGAGTTTAAAACTCAAGTAATTGGCCAGGATCACGAGTAAGCAGCGCAAAAACAGTCAGACTATATTATCTTACTTTGGTGACAAAGAAGATCAAAACATAAAACCAGAAGAAAACAACAAAGTCAAAGCTCCTACATCCAAAGCCTCCAAGAAAAACATGAATCAGTCCCAGGCCTTAGAAGAGCTTCAAAAGGAGAAGCAAGTAAGAGAAGTAGAGGAAAAACTGGGAAGAGAAATGAGAGTGATGTAAGAAAATCATGAAAAACAAGTCAACAGCTTGCTAAAGGAGACCCAAAAAAACACTGAAGAAAATAACACCTTAAAAAATAGCCTAACCCAAATGGCAAAAGAGGTCCAAAAAGCCAATGAGGAGAAGAATGCCCTAAAAAGCAAAATTGGCCAAATGGAAAAGGAAGTCCAAAAGATTACTGAAGAAAACACTTCTTTTAAAATTAGAATAGAGTAATTGGAAGCTAGTGACTTTATGAGAAATCAAGACACTGTAAAACAAATCCAAAAGAATGAAAAATTAGAAAACAATGTGAAATATCTCATTGGAAAAACAACTGACCTGGAAAATAGATCCAGGAGAGAGAATTTAAAAATTATTGGACTATCTGAAAGCCATGATCAAAAAAGGAGCCTAGACATAATCTTTCAAGAAATCATCAAGGAAAACTGCCCTGATATTTCAGAACCAGAGGGCAAAATAGAAATTGAAAGAATGAAAATGTGTATTGTATTGTATCACACGGTAATCACAGCTTGATTTATTGTTTTGTTGATTGTCTATACTGAAGAAAGTGATGGAGAAAATGTCAATAATACAGATTAAACTGGAAAGTGTATAATAAGCACATTTTTTTCTGGAGAGCTGCTAATTAAACATCTGCCAGCATACCTGAGGTTACAAGGGAGAGTTCTATGTGAGAAGTCACTGGCAAGTAAGAGTTATATAAAAAATTAACAAAGCATTATTAAAAGGGTTTTTGAACTACTAAATGGTAGAACAAGATCTTCTAATCTGAAATCCAGCACTGGATCAAGAAGGATGAGAATTGAGGAAAGACTATTGTTGTTCAGTCGTTTCAGTCATGTCCTATTCTTTGTGACCCCATTTGGGATTTTCTTGGCAAAGATACTGGAGTTGTTTGCCATTTCCTTCTCCAGCTTACTTTAAAGATGAGGAAACTGAGGCAAACAGGGTTAAGTAACTTGCCCAGGGTCAAACAGCTCATAAGTGAATGAAGTCAGTTTTGAATTCAGGAAAATGAGTCTTCCTGACTCCAGACCAGATACTCTATCCACTGTGCCACCTAACTGCTCCAGGAAAGACTATAAGATTTGGCAATTAAGAGACTGTTGCTATAATTTTGGAGAGAGTAATTTCGATCGAGTTATGAGGTAAGAAGACAAATTTCCAAAGGGTAAGGAATGAGTGGGAGGGGAGGAAAAGGACATAATCAGCATAGATAGTTAATTCTAAGAGTTTTACTGAGAAACTAGATATAGAAGGATAACCTGAGAGAATGGTCAGAACAAGTGAAGGTTGTTTCTTTTAGGGTTAAGGGGATGGGGAAATGTATACCCAGATTTCAGTTGGATGGAAAAGACGAAAGGAGATGCACTCAAGGACACAAGCAGAGGGCCTGACCTTGGCCAGAAGGGCTACCTCATTGTCACAGACAAGGAAAGTAGAAAGTCTTCAGTTTTTTTCAGTAAAGTAAAAAGTGAAGTATTCAGCTGAGAAGGGGTATGGGAAGTTAGGGAGGCTTAAGAACAGAAGACAAGGTTCGAAAAAATTCTCTATGAAGAATGAGATAGGGAATCAATTAGAGAGGGAACAAAAGATTGTCTTGCTGCAGTTAAGATTTAGTTGAAATTAGAGAACATAAATTTATAATGTACACACTCAGCATGGCTATGTGGCTTCCTCCAGTTCTGTTCAGCAATGTGTGGATAAGAACAAAGGATGCACGAACAGAATGAATAATCCAGGCCTGAAGTTTGGCATGGGATGATTGGCAATAGGACAAGGGTGAAATTCAAGAGTAGTAGTTGTTCAGTGATTTCACTTGTGTCTGACTCTTGGAGTTTTCTTGGCAGAGATACTGGAATAGTTTGCTATTTCCTTCTCTAGCTCATTTTCCAGATGAGGAACTGAGGCAAATAGGGTTAAGTGACTTGCCCAGGGCCACACAACTAGTACATGTCTGAGACTGGATATGAATTCAGGTCTTCCTGACTCTAGGGGAGGTAGGGGGCTCAGTGGATACAGGGCCAGGCCTGAAGTCAGCAAAACTCATCTTCCTGAGTTCAAATCTCACCTCAGACACTTACTAGCTATATGATCTGGGTAAGTCACTGAACCCCATTTGTCTCAGTTTCCTCATCTGGAAAATGAGCTGGAGAAAGACGTGGCAAACCACCCCTGCATCTTTGCCAAGAAAACACCAAATAGGGACTTGAAAAGTCATACATGACTAAAAAACTACAATTCTTTCAAAAAGGTAGAAGGGCCATCTTACCACATAATCAATAATATACAGATAAAGTATTCAAAGTATAAACAATAGAAATCTAATTTGACTAAAGCTACTCCAACCAAAATAATTTGACCCAACAAAGTACTACCATAACTCAAAGCATCCAATTCTGCCACATGGAAAAATTAGGAAAAAAGCTTGAAAGTCATATTATTTTTAATGGAAACTGTTTTAAAATTCTTGACTTTGTTCTTTTAGCTTTAAAAGGTTTTAAGTGGTAAGAGTTAGTGGAAAAATTAAAAACCAAATTTTGATTAATTTTGTACTATTGTCATTATTTTTAATGGAAAATGTTTTAAAATTCTTGACTTCATTCTCTTAACTTTAAAAGGTTTTAAATGTAAGGATTAGTGGAAAAATTAAAGACCAAATTTTGATTAATTTTGCACTATTGTACAATCAATAGACAAAAACAAATAGACTGCAATTACTTTATTAGATTACTGTCTCATTCACTGTATTTGTTTGAAATCTTTCACAAGACTGGAAAAATTTCTCAAGGAGGCAAGTCTCATAAAAATTGCACTGTAACTGTATGTACTGTATCTATGACACAGATTTTTTTGGTCGAAGTTACCTTTTTTGCAAAAGAGGAGTGAAAGATAAGCTACTGTTATACATTAAAAGACCAAAAATGAAAATAAAGTAATTGTTTTTAAAACCAATTAACTAAATGTCTTATCTTTCCTTTTAAAAGCACAAAAGAAATAATGAATTAATGCTTCCTAATCAAACCCATCTATGACAATCATTTGGACAAACAATACCATCAATTCTGATGCTGCAGGTGAAAATAATTTTTAACTGCATATACTTCCAAAATATATAGTCACATACAATTAAACTAATTAAAAAGAAATAACAAGAGAAGAATTACAAATAAAAATCTCTCAAATATGTCTCATAAAATATATTATCATAAATATCAGTTATATAGCAACAACTTGCATGTTATGAAAAAATTCAAGGGACAATTTTAAAAATAAATGTAAACATTTTATATTTATACCAATTTGCTACAAAACATCATTTAAATTTTTTAATTAAAATCTACAGTGTAGAAAAGACTATTACTAGCGTATTATCATACCTGTTGCCATTTGCCTTTGACAGCTGGGTCTCTGACTGACTGACAATGTCTCTGAATCTGCTGTATTACCCCCTGATAATATACCATTGAAGAGTCATAATTTCCAAGAAGCGCATATTCTCTCCCTTTCTTTGCATTGTCACAAATCTCAGCCAAATTCATCTTTTTTCATAGATCTGAAAGAAAAAATAATTAAATAAGATTTTAGTGACAAAAAATTGTGTTAATTTCTATTCTTTTTAGACATTTATTTAGACATCTAGATTTTAGACATTAACCTAAAATTTTAAACCCAAAATATGTATTTTCCACTCCTGGCAGTTAACTGCATGCTTTAGAACAAACAGTATTTCCCTTATTTTTAAAAAATCACCTATTTTTTTTTTATTCTGAACTTAACAAACACCAAATAAAATAGGCACTCCCATATATAAAACAGAACAGAAAAAAAAAGACAATTGTACATGATATGGAGTCTCTATAATATATGGCTAGCTTTTAGTAAAAAATTCTAAATTCTTAATAAATCAATATATAACTTTCAAAGTCATCCTGCTTATATGTGAATCCTTTTTGACCTTTCCTCTGTACTCTTCTCACATTTTTAAAAAATACTCAAATGATTCTCTTTTTTTTTTCTTTTTTTGCTACCTTATAGTTAGTCCACTCTACCCCTCCTCTCATCTGGGAAAAAAACCTGTAAAACCTGTAACAAACATATATAGTCAAGCAAAACAAATCCACACAATGGCTGTATCCATAAATTTGTCTTATTTTGCTTAAGTTCACCATCTCTCAATCAAGAAGTGGGTACCATGTTTCAGCATCAGCTCTTGAGGAATTGGGGTTGGTCACTGCAATAAGCAAAACTCAAGGTTACTTTTCTTTATAACACTGTTGTTCCTATGTAAATTGTTTTACTGGTTCTTCTCACTTCACTCTACATCAGGCCTTACAAGTCTTTCTATGTTTCTCTGAAACCATCTCTTTCATCATTTCTTATATCATAATAATATTACATTGTACCTATGTAGCATAATTTCTTCAGCCATTCCCAATTGATGGGCACCCCCTTAGTTTCCAGTTCTTTATTATAACAAAAGAAATGATAAAAATATTTTTTGTACATGTGGTTCCTCTTTTTTTATCTCTTTGGGGTTAGAGACCTAATAGACTTATAACTGGATAAAAAGGTTTGCACAGTTTAGTGGTTGGAGGGAATCAATACAAATTGTTTTCTAGAATAGCTAGACTAATTCACATCTATCAACAGTGTACCTATTTTCCTACAGTCTCTCTAATAACTGTCATTTTCACTTGCCATCTTTGTCAGTATGATGGGTGTGAGGTGGAACTTCAGGGTTTATTTGCATTTCTCAAATTATCAATGATTTTGAGAATTTTTCATATATTCATATTCATATTTTCATATATAATTTCTGTTTTTTTTCTTTTGAAAACTTCCAGTTCATATCCTTCGACATTAGGGAATGTTCTTGTTTTTATAAATCCCAATCAGTTCCTTATATGACTTGTATATGAGATCTTTATCAAAGTAACGTGCTACAAAGATTTTCCCCCAGTTAACTGTATCCCTTATAATTTTGACAGCACTGATTTTGTTTTTGCAAAAACTTTTTTAATTTTATGTAATAAAAGTTGTCCATTTTAACTTCTGTGATACTCTGCAAAAGGTTTCTTCTTTGCTCCTCCAATGTGTTTATGATATGGTCTTTTATATCAAAGCCATGTATCAGAGGAGTCTATTTCTGTATACCATGTGAGATACTGGTTTTTACCTAAGTTCTGCCAGATCAATTTCCAGTTTTCTGAGAAGTTTTTGTCCTTACCCCAAGAACTGGGGTTTTTGGACTATGTCTGATGTTTCTGTATGTTGTGTACCTAATCTGATCACTGATTAACCTCTCTATTTTTTAACCCATACCAAATAGTTTGGATGATTATGGCTCTGTTGTATATTTTGAGATCTATGTGGAAATCTCTAGAAAATATACTGCCATAGTAAGTGAATTTATTCATAGCATTCATAATTTCTCCATTTGCTATAACCAAGATTCCATGTAAAGATGGTGCATGCTGGCTGGTTTGGTTAACACATGCATTGCCAAAGTTAGCTCAGTGTTTGGGAGGATACAAAAGAAAGTGTGGAAGAGAAGAGGTATTAAGGTGCCCACCACGCTGAAGGTCTAACAGAGCCACTGTGCTGACTTCAGTGTTGTATGTCTGTGAAACCTGGACAATCTATCAATGCCATGCCAGAAAATCAAATCACTTCCTTTTGAAATGTCTTAAGAAGATTCTGAAGATCATCTGGCAAGCTAAGGTACTGGACCCTAAGGTCCTCTTGAGCTGAACTGCCAAGCATTCCAATTCTGCTGCAGAAAGTGCAACCTCAAAGGGCTACCCACATAGCCCGAATGCCAAACAGATGTTTATCCAAAAGATTATTTTATGGAGCACAAGACAAGTGCTCACACAGAGGTCAGAAGAAGTGATACAAGGACACTCTCAAGGTCTTTGAAGAACTTTAGTATCAATTGTGAGACATGAGAGACACTGGCACAGTGTCCAGCATGGCATGCCCACATCAAAGAAGGCACTGTGCTCTATGAGCAAAGCAAAACTGCAATAGGAAAAGGCAACATAAGATGCGCAAATCTAGAAACATGTCCATCCCAAATTTTAAAACGAACTATTTGTGCCTAAACTGTGATAGAGCCTTCCAAGCTTGTATTGGACTGATCAGCCACTGTCGAACACAATGTACCTTGACCCCAACATTGTGATGTCATTGGTCCTCTTTGAGTATGAAGTTATCAGGTACCGTTAGAACACCATCTTTCTTTTCATTACTTCCCTTGAGATTCTTGACCTTTTATTCCTACAGATGATTTTCACTATTATTTTTTTCTAGCTGTGTAAAGTAATTAATTGTTTGATAGTGTGATCTGTATAGTACTGAATAAGTAAATTAATTGACATATTTATTATATATAGTCTATTTATGAGCAATAAATACTTCAATTATTTATATCTGTCTTTATTTCTGTAAAGAATATGGTAAAATTGTAGTCATATAGTTCCTGTGTCTTGGCAGATAGACTCCCAAATATTTAATAAATTCTACAGTTATGAAAGGAATTTTTCTACCTATCTCTCTCTGTTGGATTTTCTTGATAATACATAGAAATGCTGGTGATTTATGTGAATTTATTTTCTGCAACTTTGGTGTGATTGTTTCCATTAACTTTTTATAGTTAATTATCTTAGTTTCTCTAGATACATCATCAGGTCATTTATAAAAAGTGAGAGTTTTGTTTCCTCTTTACCTATGCGTACTGCCTCAATTTCTAGAACGTCTCTAGCATTTCTAGAACTAATAGCAATGGTAGATAGTATATGGCCTTGCTTTATCCCTACTCTTACAAGAAAAGTCTCTAGCCTCCCATTACTAAAAATGTTGGCTATTGATTCTATATAGATAGTATTTATCATAAGGAACATGCTCATTTATTCCTCTTTTCTAGTATTTTTAACAAAATAAATGTCGGATTTTGTCAAAAGCTTTTTCAGTTTTTATCAATATAATCACTTTTAAATTACTTTTGTTATTAATATAATCTATTATTTCATAGCTTTCTTATATTGAAACAACCCTGAATTTCCAGTATAAATCCAACCTGGTCATCATGTATAGTCTCTTAAATGTGCTATTATGCTTTCTTTGCTAATATTTTATTTAATATTTTTGAGACAAGTTCATTTGGGATATTGGTCTACAGTTTTCTTTCTCTGATTGGTTTCTTTCTAGGTTAGGTATCAAGACTGTATGTGTATCATAGAAAGTGTGTGGAAGAATTTCTTTTTTCTCATTTTTGCAAACAATTTATATAATATCGAAATATATGAAATTTAATTAAGTAGCATGTGATAACACAGTTAAAAGTAACAAAAATAATCATATCCTTTGACCCCAATACCTGTTGATAATATGTCCTGAACTTCTTATAAAAAACAAAGATAAATATAAAATCCTGACGAAGACTTTCATGGAGTGACTGAAAGGTTATATTTTATGGGTAGAAATTTATTTAAATGTAAGTAGTTGGAGAGTTTAATTAGTTATATTAATGTTCAATGGCTTCTATTTTATACATATATATATACACACACACACACATATGTGTGTGTGTGTATATATATATTTTTTTAAAAGGGATATAAATACAAAGTTAACAAGATAGGAAATAACTTATAGACAATTGTGGAAAAAGCTCTGGCTCTGAATTCAGGGGCCTCGGGTTCAAATATGAACGTTGTTGTTTACTGCTGGACAATCTTCGGGCATGCCACTTAACATCCCTGGGTCTCAATTTCCTCTACAAAATCAGTTGGACTAGGTAGCCTCTGAAGTACCTTCTATTTCTAAATCTATGATCCTTTGATTCTAACCTCAAAAAAAGAAATTGGACAAGCTACAAATTAACCCCTATGGAAAATACCTCGAGCCCAGTAAATATAGCAAAGAAGGAAAGAACAGAACAGCTCAGCTCTCTCCCACAACTGTTCCAACAAAGATTTAGGAAGGGCACCAGGTAAAGCAGTGATGGGAATATCCAAGGAGAAAGCACAGTGGATCTTTTTTCTAGCCAAAGATCACAAATTCAGCTCACAGGCAAGTGGACAGGGCAGGAACTAAGGAGCAGGGGCAGGCCTCCTCCCTGTTGTTATTCTGACCTTGGAGGAGGATCTCAAACTCAACTCACTGGCACAAACCAGCAGGGCTTGCACTCTGACACAAGGGCAAGATCAGCTTTACGCCACAGTTAATCAGACTAGTAGAGTATTCCAGCTTCACTGACGGTGGCAGGGGCCAGGATTTGTCAAATTGTGCTCTTCTCTGCGGCATATCTGCAGTTGTGTTGTCCAAACCCAAACTGGGGTCAAAAGCCTAAAAAACTTAGACCAGGAAGGCAGCAATCGGACTGCCAGAGATCAAACCGCTCAGGGCACACTGAAAGTTTGCCGCTCCCTGGCCTGAGCCACCCCTGAAATCCTTAAAGGATGCAGCACTCTGTACTGGAAGAATACTGCAAGAGGATCCCAGATAATATAGACCAGGGCCATACAGGGACCCATCATTCCCTTCAGAAGT